TTACTCTTGCACCATAGAGAGCATCCTGGTGGGAAACATCTTAACCTGGTTCGGGAACAGCACCATGCAGGACAGACGAGCTCTACAGAGGGTTGTGCGGTCAGCTGAGCGCACCATCCGCTCCGAGCTCCCTGACCTGCACTCAATCTACAGCAGGCGGTGCTGGACCAAGGCCAGGAAGATCGTGAAGGACCTCAGCCATCCCAACAACAGACTGTTCTCTCTGTTGAGGTCAGGAAAGCGATTCCGCTCCCTGAAGACCAACACAGAGAGACTGAGGAGGAGCTTCTTCCCGCAGGCGATACGGTCTCTCAATCACACCACCACACAGTACTGACCCACACATACAGTTCTTACACACACACTGGACATTCTGGACATTGTTTTTGCACAACACTGGTCACTATATTCTTCATTTCCGGTTAATACTTGTACAGCTGCTGTTATTGTGTATATATTTATTTATATTTAGATTTCTTCATACATTCTTATATAGTTCTATATTGTGTATTTTGTTGTACAGTTATTTTATTTTCAACTTTAATTTATATATTTTATCTTATTCTTCCCAGTTAAATTTACCCTTCATTCTAATTTGTGTTGTACAGTTATTTCATTTTTAACCTTAATTTATATTTTATTCCTTCCTAGTTAAATTTACCCTTTTTAATTTTTCATATTTATTTCCTATCTTATTCATAGCCTTTTCCTTTTTTGTTTTCTTTAGGTCACGAGTAGTTGTCCAAGCATTTCACTGCATATCGTACTGTGTATGACTGTGTACGTGACAAATAAAATTTGAATTTGAATTTTGAATTTGAATTTGAAATCCCGCAGTGCCAGACGTGTTCCGCTGCTGAAGCCAGTGCATGTCCAGGCCCGTCTGAAGTTTGCCAGAGAGCACATGGATGATACAGCAGAGGATTGGGAGAATGTCATGTGGTCAGATGAAACCAAAGTAGAACTTTTTGGTATAAACTCAACTCGTCGTGTTTGGAGGAAGAAGAATACTGAGTTGCATCCCAAGAACACCATACCTACTGTGAAGCATGGGGGTGGAAACATCATGCTATGGGGCTGTTTTTCTGCCAAGGGGACAGGACGACTGATCCGTGTTAAGGACAGAATGAATGGGGCCATGTATCGTGAGATTTTGAGCCAAAACCTCCTTCCATCAGTGAGAACTTTGAAGATGAAACGAGGCTGGGTCTTCCAACATGACAATGATCCAAAACACACCGCCCGGGCAACAAAGGAGTGGCTCCGTAAGAAGCATTTGAAAGTCCTGGAGTGGCCTAGCCAGTCTCCAGACCTTAACCCCATAGGAAATCTGTGGTGGGAGTTGAAAGTCCGTGTTGCTCGGCGACAGCCCAAAACATCACTGCTCTCGAGAAGATCTGCATGGAGGAATGGGCCAAAATACCAGCTACTGTGTGTGCAAACCTGGTAAAGACCTATAGTAAACGTTTGACCTCTGTTATTGCCAACAAAGGTTATGTTACAAAGTATTGAGTTGTATTTTTGTTATTGACCAAATACTTATTTTCCACCCTAATTTACGAATAAATTCTTTACAAGTTCTACCATGTGGATTCATGGATTATTTTTTTTTTGACATTCTGTCTCTCACAGTTGAAGTGTACCTCTGGTGCAAATTACTGACCTCTGTCATCATTTTAAGTGGGGGAACTTGCACAATCGGTGGCTGACTAAATACTTTTTTGCCCCACTGTATGTACTGCATTGCAAAAAGTCCTGCCATTTTATGATATGATATACAGAAGATATACAACAGATACATTAAAATTAAAACTGAATTTATGACAGTAAGGAAGCCACAAAAGTGTTTAAACTGTTGTTTGCTGAATTGATTATATTGTTTTTGTTTTAGTTACAGTAGTAATAAGGAGGCATTGAATATATGCTTTGCTTCTCATTTGAACACATTAACTTAGAGATATGTTACAAGCAATTTTTAAATGACACTAAGTATGTATATAAAACACCTACAAATAAAGTGAACATCCATCCAATCATTTTCTTCTTATCTGAGTTGCTTTGGCAGCAGCAGGATATTCCAGATGTTGTTTTCCCCAGCAACATTTTCCAGTTCTTCTTGGGGGATCTTGAGATTTTCCCAGGCCGGATAAGATATAATCTCTCCTGTGTGCTCATGGGCTACCCTGGGCTTCTTTTTGACTGAGCATGCCAGTAAGACCTCCAACAGAAGATATATAGGAGGCATCTCGAGATGCCTGAAACATCTCTGCTGACTCTCTCATGCAAATGAGCAGAGGCTCTAATCTAAGCTCATTACCAGTGTGTGAATGTGAGAGTGAATGAATAGTGGTATTGTAAAGCACTTTGGGTGCCTTGAAAAGCGCTATATAAATCCAATCCATTATTATTATTATTATTATTATTATTACCAGACAACTTAGGCTGAGGTTAGAAACCATGTAGAGGAATTCCATTTCAGTTGCATGTATCCACAGTCTAATTCTTTTACTCATTTCTCAGAGCTCATGGCCATAAATGAGTGAGTTTTTGGAATTTTTAACTTCTCTTAAGGGAAAGTGATGACTGGATTTTTACAATAGCGGTTACTCGAGGTGGATGGTAGCACTTCTGCTATTGTTTTTTAAGCCTTTGTTACTGTTGCAATGAGTCATAATATTCGTCTACACCTAGTACATGTTGTCTACCCCAAGTATATATATTTAAGGCTCGGGGGAATGATGTTGCTTGGCTATTTATTCAAACTGCATGGACCTTAAGTAAGTGAATTTTATTTTATTTTCTTAATGATGGCAAAAAAAAGTGATGACAATTGTTCATATTGGCTGAATATTTAAAAATCATTTCTGTTCGAAGTAACTTAAAGGGCTGAAGGAGAAAAGGACAAAAGAAGAGCACAATAACAGTGAAGATAACATTGGAATGAAGATAAAAGGTGCCCAGTAACATGGACACAACTCTTCCCTGGATAGATGAAGCCTGTGAAGGACAAACAGTGTTTCTGGTAGTGACAGGAGAGCAGTCAGGATAATCAGACAAGCCTGCCCATAATGATAACTGAATGATGAATTAAGCAGGATATGGCACAGACAAATAATGTGTTCTTCATCATGTGGCAGACTTCAGTGTGTTGTTTTTTGTTGATTTTTTTGAATTTGTGTCACTTTTTTGATTAATAGTATCCTGTGAAGTAAGATAAATCAATTATATTTCTGTATTTCCATAATAGTGACGTGTGTTCTTATCAGTAAACAAAAACACGGAAATTTAAACTGTGACCAACTGATGGTAATCATTTTGTTTCAAGTGTGTAATCAACCAAATAATTTCTACATATGTTAACAACAAACTGCCTCATTAAACCTCATTAACTGTACTGACTGTACAGTCGATGTTATACCAATAATCCATCTTTTTTTTTTTTTTTTGTCTATTACATTGAAGTCAGGAAATGGAAAGAAAACTTGAAACCAATGTTTAGTTTTCATTTGTTTTTGTTTTTTTATTACAGATCACGAATCCTTTGGAACAAGGTTCCAAGGAGACAAAACATTTCTTTGAGCATTCAATTTGTTGAAAACAACTGAAACTGGCTGTTTTACAGCTGATCAACAGTTTCGGACCACAGTCCTTTAAAAGGCCAAATCTTTGCAAACATGTGGATTCATTATTATTTTCCGTCAGGTAGTTACAATGTCATAATTTTCTGATGGTAAAGGCAAAAAAACGTCCCCTTTTTGAACGTGGTCGGGTTGGGTCTCTCACAGCGCACAATCGCTGCTGAGGTCGGATGGAGTAAGACAGTCATTTGGAATTTCTTCAATGATCCTGAGGGTTATGGAACAAAAAAGTCAAGTGGAAGACCCCAAAAGATTTCACCAACATGGGACATTTTTTTCTCTGATGAGAAAAAAAAATTAACCTTAATGGTTCTGATGGTTTCCAACGTTACTGGCATGACAATCCCACAGATCCCACCTGAGATGTTTTCTACGTGGCACAGTGGAGGGGACCTCTTCCAGGAGAATAACATCACTCTTATGGAACATCCTGCATGTTCTGTTCCCCTGATCTAAAACCAATTGATAACCTTCGGGGATGGATGGCAAGGGAAGTTTACAAAAATGGACAACAGTTCCAGACAATAGATGCCCTTTGTGTGGCCGTCTTCACCACTTGGAGAAATGTTCCCACTCACCTCGTGGAAACGCTTGCATCAAATATGCCCAACGAATTTGATCAACAGTGATCAACAATAACGCTGGAGCTACTCATTACTGAGTTCATGTTTGGAACTTTGATTTCTTTTTTTTTGGCGGGGGGTTACAGGTTTTTTTTGGAGGTGTGGTCTTAAACTTTTAATCAGCTGTAAAACAGCCTGTTTTAGTTTAAGTGTTGTTTTTCAATAAATTGCATCCTCAAAAAAATGTTTTGTCTCAGTCCCATTTCTTGTTGTTGCATGTTGAAGCTCTGATTTTTTTTTTTTTTTTTTACCTGATTTTGGTTTTTTGGGTTGTTTGTTTTTTTTGCCATTTTTCAAGTTGTCTTAAACTTTTGATTAGCACTGTATTCTTAAAAAATATTTATTTTTCCTTTGTCGTTGATTGCATACTGTGTTTTGCTACTTTGTGATTGCCTTCCTCATTCTCATTAGTTCATCTCATTTCAGTTCATTTAATGTGCAGTTAATTCTCTCTCTATTAATTTCTGTGTTCTTTTTCATCTGTCAGTTTACTGTCCATTTGTTATACAAGTTCTGTACTGACCTTTATAAATCCTGAATGTTTTCCAGGGTTAGCATAGTAAATAGGACAAACTCCAAATGAGAACTTTGAGTATTTCCATGTTTTGTTTTGTTTTTTATAAAGTCTCTGTAATGATAGAGTTACTTTGAATTACACAAGTAACAAGTTTTGTCTGTTTTTGTTGTAGCCTCTCAAGTTTCTGACTATGTTTTCTTTTTCTTTTTTTTATCTCTCTAGTTGGGTTGTCAAAGGAAGCACGAGGAAGTCTGACATCTTTGTTGGTTCAGCCCATCTCTGCCCTCCTCGCCAAGACATTGCTGTCATCGCCATCCACGGGCCAGGAAGGCTCTTGTATTCCTCTAGCAATGCCTCCCAATACAGGTAAGCACACAGACTACAGGAAACCAGAGTTGCTAATAATGTCTCATTCAACAGAAAGTGTTTTCAAAAGTATGAGGGTTTTTTTTTTTTAATTGATAAAAACAAACCAGCTTCAATCACAAGCGAAAAGTTACAGCATGCATGAATGGGGCAGTGTATGGAGCACATGAGTGACACAGCTTTAGGACATGTTTGGATTAAACCAGGCATTATGATCAATGAAGCATTGTGCTTAAAAGCATAGGATATAGATTTATCAGTTCATCTAGGTTCTATTAGTCTCCCTTATCCTTAGGGTGCCTATTGTGGCTCGCCTTGTAATCGGAAGGTTGCCGGTTCGAGCCCCGGCTTGAACAGTCTCGGTCGTTGTGTCCTTGGGCAAGACACTTCACCCGTTGCCTACTGGTGGTGGGCAGGGGGCCCGGTGGCGCCAGTGTCCGGCAGCCTCGCCTCTGTCAGTGCGCCCCAGGGTGGCTGTGGCTACAATGTAGCTTACCATCACCAGTGTGTGAATGTGTGTGTGAATGGGTGGATGACTGGATATGTAAAGCGCTTTGGGGTCCTTAGGGACTAGTGAAGCGCTATATAAATACAGGCCATTTACCATTTCATTTACCATTGTGAGTTTAGGGTCTGTGTCTAGAGCTTGCATTTTTGTACTGGATCTGTCTGTCTTCCATCCAAAACCACTCTGTTAGGACAACTTTCTTAACCACTGCATATGTATATATAGCACTCATAGTTGAAAATAGTCTAGTTAGACTCACTGAGTGAAAAAGTTACACATATAACTTTTCTAAATTGGACCTCTGTGATCCTGTGGAAGCTTCCAACCCTACTGCTGTTGAGCTCTCATTACATTACTTATAGATTTTAAATAGAAAACATTATAAATGTTATTTAAGGTAGAGCAGCTTGATGCATGAATGTAAAAAGGCAGAAAGGAGTATAAGAGGTAAGAGACATATAAGGAGGATTATGTGACAGTCATGGTGGAGATTAAAGAAGGGACTGATTCATTACTATAGCTTATTGTTACTGGTTCTTTTTAGCTACTAGTATATTACCCAAAGTTTATGGTGACATACAGTTTTAGTTTAATCATTATAGGAGCATGTTTTGTGCTGATGCTTAAACATAGGTTGAGAAAAACTATGATGAGCTATTTATGCTAATTAGCAGTAACAAAATGTTGTATTTGCTAGTTCAATTCAATTCAATTTTAATTATACAGCGCCAAATCACAACAACAGTTGCCTCAAGGCGCTATATATTATAAGGTAGACCCTACAATAATACATGCAAATCCAACAATGATATGACCCCCTATGAGTAAGCACTTTGCAGTGTAAATGTCTGAGAGCAACATAAAAGCTAGTTTTGTAAAAGTAATGGTAAAAGATGTGTAAAACGTTAACTGAGAATCCATCACATTAAAGAAGAGACAAAAGAGATAAAGGTCAGAATGACACCCCTAGTGTTGACCTGTCAGTAGGCAAATACATAGAGAAAGTCAATAATTTCCTTTGTGGAGCGGCTGCAATAAAAAGGGAAAAAACCCTCTTTTAATATAAAATCATCCTGGGCTGAACTGGATTCACGTTTGATGGCCATCTGCCTCAACTGATTGAAGTTAGGGAAGAGCAGAGACAGAGGAAAGCTGAGCACTTAGAAGCAATAAAAAAATATGTCAAATATCAACCAGTGATTCTATTTACTATAGCAGGTAGGGCTGCTTGATTATGGCAAAAATGATAATCACGATTATTTTCACTAAAATTGAGATCTCGATTATTTGACGATATTTATTTAACCCTTTAAGACCTACCATAGAACCAAGTCCGCCAGAGCTTATATTATTTTTTTTACATGTTGTAGTGCCATTTGTGGGAGCATTTCAAGTTGCTATACATCAATACAACTGTTATAGCCCATATTTTAATAATATGTATGCATTAAGTCCATAGTAACTACATTAATTGCAAAAAAGTGCAATAAATTACAAAAAAAACTGAAAATCGTTTTTGTTTTTTTTACATATATTTCTACTTGGAGAAATTTAAGAGGTTTATCCCTCAAAACTTTAAATACAAAAAAGTTGCAAAAAATAGTTTACAACAACAGGAAATTTATTTTGAGTGTCTTCATAGTTTTATTTTGGAGATACAGCAATTTTTATATACTGCAGGAAAAACAAAAAAACAACCCTATGATGCAAATTTGCAAAGAAAACAGCATGTGCATCAAAATAAACTATTTCCAGCAGTGCAATAGGAGTTCTAAGCATCCCAGAAACTATTCAGAAAAGTCAAACAAGGCCTACAAGTAAAAAACTACATTTTTAGCGAAAATGACGTCACTTCCTGTTTCGGGCAGGAAATGGCGACATGCGATAGTTCTCGCTGACGGCTGTTTCAATGTGGGAAGTGTTACGAAAAGCTGATCGGATCGGCAAAGCCTGTTTCTGGAATATTATGTTTTTGTTCCTGCAAGCGCTTTTTATGCAATTTTTGCAAAGCTTTATGTGGAAGGAAACCATGACTGAGGACAAGCTGATGGCATTAGATGTAAGTTTCATATGCAAAAAACACTATTGCGCTAGCTTACATGGTTCAGGTTCTACAGCAGGGGTGTCAAACTCAAATACACAGTGGGCCAAAATTCAAAACTGGAACAAAGTCGCGGGCCAACGTTAATATTTATTGAAAAAAATCTTCCTCCAGATATAACAAGGAACCTTTTCTTACAGACTCAAATAAGTTTTGCTGAAAAACTGAATATGGAATAAGCAACGCTTAATACTGAACGATATAGAACTTATATAAACATATATAACTTAATATTGCACACATGCAAAATTGAAATTCCAATTAAATAACATATCACTGGAATGCATTTCTTAAATAAAAATTGTATTTGCAGCCTTCTGATTTAAATTTTAGCAGTAAACTTTTTCCCCAGGCTAATAATAAATGTAAAAATAAAATAACAATAATAAACCACTTAACTAATAAAAATATCATTAAACGTGAAACCATTCAAGCCCATGTCTGGGAGTAGCAAGACAAATTGCACAAAGAAAATGGTAATTATAGCTCAGTTTGCTACACACTGATCTACTCTGATGCGTCCAAGCCAGATACCTGGCATCTCTTCTTGGATGCTAGTTCCTCAATGTCTGGGCTCAGGCTCTGAGCTGAGGAAATCCTCAGGATCGAGTGAAGGTGTTCATCGGTCAGACGTCTCCTGTGAGATGTTTTGGCCATCTTCATTGAGGAGAATAGTTGCTCACATAGGTAAGTGCTGCCGAACATGGAGAGCATCTGAGCAGCGTGGGTGCGGAGCCCAGGCATTGTGTCAGGGATGAAATGTGGAAATTGTGAAGCGCCCACAGCATCATACTTTGATTTCAGCGTGTCACTACACTGGAGTTCAATCAGCTCCATTTGGAGGTTTGTTGGTGCTTTTGCCACGTAAACTGCAAAAGGATTACTGAGCAGTTCAAATCGACATTTCTGGGCGTCAAAGTCGGCAAACCGCCGGGTAAACTCAGTACTGAGTACACAGAGTTTTTCAGCAAACTGTACGCATGGGAACACAGCAGTAGAGATTTGCATGTTCATCGTTTGGCAGCAGGGAAAATGGCCCAGGTTTCCTTGTAGCATCTGATTCTGCCACAGGCACAATTTCGTTTTAAAAGCCCTCACTGCAGCGTACATATCTGTGATGATACGCCCCCGTCCCTGAAGCTGCAGGCAGCGGCATCGAGATGGCTCGTGATATCACACATAAAGGCCAGCTCACACAGAAACTCTTGCTCCCTGAGCTCAGCTGTGTCTTGCCCTTTGCTTTCAAGAAACTGAAATATTTCCTCGCGTAGCTCGAAACATCTGTTCAGTACTTTCCCTCGGCTTAACCACCTCACCTCCGTGTGATACGGCACGTCTCCGTATTCCGAACCACACTCCTCAAGAAAAGATTTGAATTGGCGGTGATTCAGACCTTTGGCTCTTATAAAGTTAACTACTCGTGTTACTGCGGTCATAACATGTTCCATCTTTAGGGCTTTACCACAAAGTGATTCTTGATGTATGATGCAGTGATAAACAGTCAGCTCACCTGCACAGTTCTCCGCTCGCATCTTCTCCCGTACCCTGCCCACCAGTCCGCTCCTTTGACCACACATCGCTGGTGCACCATCTGTCGTTAACCCCACAAGTTTTTCCCATGGCAACTTCATTTCAGTTAGACATTTGGAAACCTCTTCAAATATTTCCTTCCCTGTGGTTGTTCCACGCATTGATTTTAATCCTAAAAGTTCTTCCGTAACACAGAGAGTTGAGTCCACACCACGGATGAAGACTGAAAGCTGGGCAGTATCAGAGGCATCGCTGCTCTCATCCACAGCGAGGGAGAATGCAACGAAACTGTTTCCCTTCTCCATCAGCTGGTTATTTAGATTGTTGGCAAGTTCACGTGTGCGATCAGCTACTGTGTTTCTGCTCAGGCTAACATTTGAAAATGCTTGCCTTCTCTCTGGGCACACAACGTCGCAAACTTTCATCATACAACTTTTCACAAACTCTCCCTCACTGAAGGGCCGGGCTGATTTTGCGATCTCTGCTGCCACAACAAAACTAGCCTTTACAGCAGCCTCACTTTGTGATATGGCTTTTTTGAACATAGTCTGTTGTGAAACAAAACTTCTTTTCATCTCTTCTGCTTTCCGGCGCCTTTGAGTCATGTCCAGGTCCTTGTACTTCTCTTGGTGTTTCGTTTCATAGTGTCGTCTAATGTTGTACTCCTTGGTTAAAGCCACATGAGCTCCACATACAAGACAAACAGGTCTGTCTTTTACATAGGTAAACAGATATTCTGTCTCCCACCTGTCCAGGAAGCTCCTGTTTTCGTTCTTTCTTTTCGCCATTTTGGGAGAGGTAGCACGGCAGTATTCGCGCGGTTGCTATGACTACAGTCAACAGAGGAGAGGGCGTTAATGG